TTTCCTCCTATTAAATGAGGCAGCAAACCGCAGAAAGAATATGGGCAACTTAAACCTTGTATCTGGTTTCTAAAATAGTTCAGTTAATTGAGAACCAACATTTGACGGGAAGGAAGAATTCCCAAGATAAAAGTCCTAAGATTTCTCAGGACATTAAAGGGGAACATTATTCCCTGCAAAATAACTCCCATAGCAAAGTATTACAGAGAATGTAAGACAGAAGGTCACCTCCATTATTTGCCTGGTTCAGTGAAGTTTTCTACTCATCAACTGAAACACAACTTTAAACAACTGAGCGTAGCTTGGATATGCTAGGGGACAGTGTAGTGGTTAGCTATCAGTGATGATGCTATCGTTCCTTTCAAGCAAAGGTAGTTTATCTCTGGAGTCTGAGAACTTCCACATTCAAGCAAGATTGGAGGGACTGCTGTTGAAGCATGGACCTCCCTGGCCATGTCCATACATATGGACCCTCCTGGTGGCTATTTCTACTGCAATAAAAAACAAGTAAGCACTAAATCAATGACCAGGAGAGGAAAGGTGAAACAGCAGGGCAGTAAGATACTAGAGTTAAAGCTTTCTTGGCATAGGCACAAAGTGAGTTGCTAAATGTAGTTGTGAGACCACAAATATCTATGACAAACCGGCCATTGTCAGTTTACTTGGTTAAAGGAGAAATGATAAAAAGAAATATTTTAAATCTGCTCAGTAAACATTACATATTGATTTAGCGACAGGAAGTAGATCAAATCTTTATGGAAACAGCCTCATTTGATCCTATTAACAGCCCCAAGCCATAGGTATTATCCTCAGTTTGCAGAAGCAAACAAATCGAGGCAACGGTTTAATTTGCTCAAGATTTCGCAGATATTAAGTGATGGAGCTGGAATTTGACAACCAGAAAGTCTAACTTCAGAAACCATGGTTTAAATTGTTTTTTAAGTTTTTATTTATTTTGAGAGAGACAGAGACAACACAAGCGGAGAAGGGGCAGAGAGAGAGGGAGAGAGAGAATCCCAAGCAGGCTCTGCACATTCAGCTCAGAGCCTGATGCAGGCTCAAACTCATGAACCATGAGATCAGGACCTGAGCCAACACCAAGAGTCAGATGCTTAACCAACTGAGCCATCCAGGTGCCCCCAGAAACCATTTTTTTAATCGATATTTCCTATGCTTACATAGCCAGCCTACCCTTTCTCCCATACCATTTCGCCGTTTTCTTTCTTTATCGTTTCTGCACAAGAAAACCATCTTCTTTAGTAACAATTTTAAAAGTATTATAGATGTCTGTAATTTAAAATACTATTTTTGACACCATACAGTTTTAAGAGTAGAACGACCATTTTAGAAATCCTATGAATAATCTGGCAAAAATACCATATTCTTTAATATAATGAGTTGATTAGAAAAGGTATACAATTATTTATTTATTATTTATTTATTTATTTTGAGAGAGAGATTGAGAGAGTGGGGAGGGACACAGAGGGGGGATAAAGAGAATCTCAAGCAGGCTCCATGCTGTCAGCACAGAGTCAGATGTGGGGCTCGAACTCATCAACCAACTCATGAACTGAGATCATGACCTGAGCCGCAATCAAAAGAGTCAGATACTTAACCCAATGAGCCACCCAGATGCCCCAGAAAAGTTCTGCTTAAGACAAATTAGAATAAGGTACAACAACAGAATTCAATTCTTTTTCTCTTCTGCTCTGATAGACACAAAAGGTAATGTTCTGGAAAAAACTGCACTACTGCTAGTAATTCAAGGCTTCCATTCTCCATTGGATTCCCAGAGCTGACCACCTAACTTTTTGTGTTTCCCATTCCTCTCTGTTGTAAATCCAAGCCATTTCTAAATTCCAAAGGCCTAAATCCTATTCTCCCATCTTTTTCATCTTGCCTCCTATGTCATTGAGACCCTGAGGCCATCAGGCTTGAAATCCATCAATTTCCTCCTGCTAGACCAAGAAAATTTAGCAACTTGAGCAACCATCCTTCCAATCTTCTCTCCAGAAATAAGGTCTCCTCTTGTTCCAGTCTAAATCAAGTTCTCTGTGCTCTGGGTTCCATGTTCTCACATCTCTTCAAGGAGCCCAAACCATTAATTTTCCATTCCGCTTTGTGCTGTGGTAGATTTGTCAAATACATTGCTATCATGCTCCCAACATCCCAGGAGAGAAGGCAAGCCATCCACGGTCCTTGCCAAGGGGCAGCCATGTTTTGTACCATGCAAACTCCTGGGTACTGGCTGACCAGGGAAGGGCGGCAAGTATCTCAAAGAGCAGCCAACTTACAGACTGGCCGGGGAATGAAGGCATGCCCTGCCACGAAACAGTGAGCAGGCCCTGGTGCCTACTTAAAACGTCTCAAAATGTACTCACTGCTTTAAGAACGAGAAACCCACTTGCAGTAAAATGGGAATATTTTCATTATTAGAAAGTTATGAAATAATCTTTTATGTATTTCTTGTGAAAGCCATTCACTTTAACATTCAGAAATAAGTTGATACATTGTGGTTCTTAGAGAGTTTTACATCTTAGCGCAGGAATAACAACATATAGTATCAGTAACATTAATGATAAAAATATTATTTGTAGCACCCTCTTATATGAATTTTAAATGTCATCTCTGATTCTCACAATAATCCCACAATGTAGGTTCAAATATTACTGATTTTCAAATAAGGACACTAAGGCTCAGAGGAGTTAAGTTACTTCCCAAAGTCACTCACTTAATGATGTGCCAAGCTTGGAGACTGGATCTAAAGCTTCTATATAGTCTTTGTCCTCTTTATACTATCTCCGGCTTCTTCCTAACTACACCATGAAGGCACTGCTTACATTTATCATTTGTCATCTAATCATAACATCAAAATGATTGGAACGGGTTTAAAAAATATATAAATCACAGTAACATTCACAGATGAGGAATGAGGATGAGAAGGAAAATAAAATTGAGACACCTGGGTGGCTAAGTCAGTTAACCGTCCCACTCGGCTCAGGATATGATCTCATGGTCCATGAGTTCGAGCCCCATGTTGGGCTCTGTGCTAACAGCTCAGAGCCTGGAGCCTGCTTTGGATTCTATGTCTCCCTTTCTCTCTACCCCTCCCCTGCTCATGCTCTGTGTGTGTGTCTGTCTCTCAAAAATAAATAAACATTAAAAATTTTTTAATAAAGAAAAGGAAAATAAAATCAAGCTGGGGACAATTTAGTGTAAAAAAAAGTGTGTCAGTGGTTCTGTATGTAGTTAGACAGGATCTCTAAACATTACTTCATTAGGAAGGTTGATGCCTTTGGGAAGAGTTGGTACCACATTTTTTTTTAAAAGACTTGTTACCTCCTGAGGATTCAAAAGATAAGACATGAGAGGCAAACATTATTAGGTGCATATATTAACCAAAATACAACAACATGCACCCTGCACAAATGCTTTTTGACTTAGAAATATTATCAAGCATTTCAGCCCATAAAATGTAAGAGTTATGGGCACCTGAATGGCTCAGTGGGTTAAGCATCTGACTTGATTTTGGCTCAGGTCATGATCTCAGGTTGATGGGATGGAGCCCGGAGCCCAACTCTGTCCTGGCAGTGTGGCCTGCCTGGGATTCTCTTTCTCTCTCTCTGCCCCTCCCGAGTTCGAATGCACCTCCCCCCCACTCTCTCTCTCAAATTAAATACATAACTTTTTTTTAATGCAAAGGTTAGAAAGTCCATGAAGAAAAGATGGATGTTTACCAAATGTTAATTTCAACAAAATTCTGACCACAAGTATTCAGACACCCTACAAAATGGCATAACAAAAAAGAACACCTGTCCATGTAAAAAGATGACTTCCCGCTACATAATGTCTTAAAATTAGCAGCATCCCAAGTTAGAGTCTACTGTTCATTTTACACCATTTTCTTCCGTGGCTACCATTCAGAGGTACACCTCTCTGAACCGGAGAGCCCCTTATGCAGGGAGAAAAGAGGTAAAGATGCACGCGGGCTTACCAGGAGCAATGCAGTAACGTCTGTGAAAGAAAAGCAACCTTACAAAAACATGATCCCAATTTCCTTCAATTCGGATCACCAGAGGACTTCTTCAATCTTTATTCTTTTCCCAACTAGCGCACAAAATGGTGTTCGAGCGGAGAAAACGAACTATGGTTCATTCAGATGTATGATTTTTCTTTTTCTTTTTTTTGTCTCGGAGCAAAGATTCTGAGTAAGGACAAACCTAGCTGCTGATCGCAGTATGCAATTACACGGGAGGAGAGTTTGCGCTGGCGGTGAACAGAAAGCAGGTTTGCTCCGCACAACAGGTTAGCTCATACTTAATAATGCAGTAAGTCTGCCAGGCTGTGACTCGGTGCGCCCAGGTGATGACGGTCGCTATGTCTCTGCTCTCTAAGCCTCTGGCATCAACAAGCACAATCCTGGGCTGCTGTCTGGCTGAGGTCAGCTCCGCCGGACCAGGTCCAGATACCACCAAAGACTCGGGAATTAGACTTCCTGGAGGACAGAGCCTCTTTCGGGTCCACGTGTGCCTCGCTGTGTGCTATTTTCGGGCTCCAACTAGAAGGGCCTGGGACTCCGGGAGGCACGCGGGGGCGGGGCCCGGGGAGTTACAGTTTCGAACCTCCGCCTCAGGTGCCCTGGCCGTGGGTGGTTCAAACACGACGCTTTCAAACGTGCAGGCGAACGGGGCAGGGCGGGGCACGGGTCAGCCCTCAGGTGTCCTGTTCGGCCGCGTCAGAGACTCGGGCTGAGTCCCGGCGCATTCCCGCCGCAGAAATTCAAAGAGCGGGGGCGCCCTCGAGTCAGCCCGGAAGGCGCCTGCTTCGCGGAAGCTCGCCCGCGCCGCAGGGCAAGCCGACGCCGGCTCCCCCACAGCCACAGGTCTCCGAAGCTCCGCGGGCAGCCGTCCGGCCGCCAGCAGAGCCACAGGCGTCGCGGACCCCTCGGCGCCCCGCGCCCGCGCGCCCGCCTTGCGCGGCGAATCTTGGGGGCGCAAGCCGGAAGCGCCATCCGGACCCGCCCCCTGCCCGCCGGAGCCGGAAGTTGCGACCCCGGCCCGTACGTCGCCCCCCGCGGGCCGCGCCGCACCATGCTCCGTGGTCCCCAGTGCCTCCTCAAGGTCTCCGTGGCACCGGTCGCGGCCCTGGCTGTGGCGCTGCTCTCGTCGCTCTCGCGCTGCTCCCTCCTGGAGCCGGACGACCCCGCGGTTTCGGCGCTCAGCCCCTACTTCGGCACCAAGACCCGCTACGAGGATGCCAACCCCGGGCTGCTGCCGGACCCCGAGGCGCCGCGGCGGGACCCCGAGCTGCTGGAGGACGCCTGCACGCCAGTGCAGCTGGTCGCCCTCATCCGCCACGGCACCCGCTACCCCACGGCCAAACAGATCCGCAAACTGCGGCAGCTGCACGGCCTGCTGCAGGCCCGCCAGTCCGGCGACGGCCGCGCTAGCCCCGCCGGCGGCCGCGACCTGGGCGCCTCGCTGGCCGACTGGCCACTGTGGTACGCCGACTGGATGGACGGGCAGCTGGTGGAGAAGGGGCGTCAGGACATGCGACAGCTGGCGCTGCGCCTGGCCTCCCTCTTCCCGGCACTGTTCAGCCTCGAGAACTACGGCCGCCTGCAACTGGTCACCAGCTCCAAACACCGCTGTGTGGACAGCGGCGCCGCCTTCCTGCAGGGGCTGTGGGAGCACTACCACCCCGGCTTGCCGCCCCCCGACGTCGCAGGTGACAGCCCGGGCCGCCGGGTGGGCCCCCTGCCTGGGTCCTCCGAGCACCACGTCTTCCCCAGCCCCCAGGTCACCTCACCTCACCTCCCCCAGTCCCCAGACCCCTGGCTTCTCCCCGGGCTCCACTCCCCAAACCCTCTGCCTGGCTCCTCCGAGCACCACGTCTTCCCCAGCCCCCGGGTCCCCTCCCCTCCCCTCCCCCAGTCCCCAGAGCCCTGGCTTCTCCCCGGGCTCCCCGCCCCCCGGACCCCCTGCCTGGGTCCTCCATGCTGGTCGTCTTTCTCAGTCTCCTGCTCACCTCCTCTCCCCCGCGTTCCCAGAGCTCTGGCTCTTCTCTGGGCTCCCCTCATCTCCCTCTGTCCCCGGGGCCTCCACCCCTTCTCCGGGTCCCAGCTCCCGGGGTCTCGGTCTCCTCACTCTGGCCCCCGCCCCCCAGGCCAGGGCTTCCCTCACTTCCCCCAACCCCCACGCCAGCTCAGCTTCAGGACTGGGCGGCCACCCTTCTCCAGCGCACATTCTTTTTTCCTCTGATCACGTGTGGGCGGGACACTGCCTTAGGCGTTCGGGGTCCGAGAGGAGAAGGGACTGACCGGGACACTCTTTGATCCGCCCTTCCCTATTAATTGCGCCCCCTTTGAGCACTGACCCGGCATTCCTCCTCGCTGGCAGCTATTTCTGTAGTTGTGTAGTCGGGCGCGCTTGTTATATACAACCTAGAAGTTTTCTTCATCGGCTTTTGCTTCTGATACTGTTGGGTTTTTATTTTTCACTTTTTTTTTTTTTTTAACGTACTGGTTCTTTACCCACATCCTGCTGTAGGAAGCTACTCTCAAACTTTTTTTACTGCTGTGCTTTTGATGAGATTTTGGGGTGATGGTGGGGAGGTCGCGAGCCCACGGCCAAGAAAGAATTCTTGAAGACGTCTTTGGTGCAAAAAGGTGATTTTATTAAAGCAGGGGCAGGACCCTTGGGCTGGAAGAGCTGCGCTGGGGTTGTGAAGAATCGCCGGTTTTATACTATGGAGATGGGGAGGTAAAGGCACAGGGAGCCTCCCGAGGGACTTGAACATGACTCCTGGGACACCTGAGACCTGGCTGTCCTCAAGCTAAGGTTGTTACCCTCCAGTAGGGCATTAACATTAGGATGCGAGGGGCTTCCTGGAGAAATGTCCTACTCTGTATTTGCCTCAAGTATTTGCAGTGGGCTGCAGCTTATGAGGAAATTTAGTTTTACCTGCCATTTCCTCCTTACCTTTGTTCCCCACATCACTAGTGAGGGCTGATGTCCGGGCTCCAGGAAACTGAGACTCCAGGTTCCTGGAGATGAGGCTATTGATAAGATGGGGCTTTTTTCTTGTATTTACTAAGATATTTGTGAACTGATGGAGACTCATGTCCTGCGTGACTGTGATCTCTATCAGTTAGCCATTTGTTTTCTTTCTTGTCTTTTGTCCTTGGACAGCCAGGAGAGCCTGAGGAACAGGTCACACATCCCACCTGGGGCGGGGGGTGTTGCTTGCACTTTGTCCTCAGCCTGCCCCACGCTCCCACATCACTTTTCTCTGTTTTGTTCTTGGATGTACTGTAGACTTCCCTTCCCTGTAGCTGTGATTTGCGGTCGCGCTCAGTACTCTTCTGATTCCATTACGTATTCTTCTTCAAAATAAGGGAGACCATGTAGTGGGGCCCGTTTATTCCACAGGTGAAGAAGCTGAGCCTTGTTGATTGTCCTTGGTTAGTTTGAGGACTAGAGTCAGGCCTGGAGTCCCTGTCTTCTTTTTCTCCCTCGAACTGGTGCCTTTTTCACCCCCTGAGAAAATGCTTAATAGTTGCAGATACTAATAATAACAAACTCTTAAGGCCTGCTACGCGGCTGTATGGCAGGCATACCTACCATTTATTTCACTAAATCCTTACAAAAACTCCCTGAGGTCGGGAGTATTTTCTCCCCAGGTAACAGAAGAGGAAATTGAGACACAGAAAAATAAGTAGCCTGCTTTCCTATAGCTATGTATGGTCCCAGGAGATGGGATTCAGCGCTTGGGCTCCTAACCATTATACCTGCATTATACCTTCAGTTTCTCCCATGACTTAAGGATAAGCATGAAAACATACAACTGCCTGCGCCATAGAGCTAAGCACGGGTTCATGTTTCCCTGGCCAGTTTTAAGGGCAGAGTTGAGGAGATACATTGTTCCCCTTTTAAACCCAACTTAGGACTGGACCCGTTTGCCATTTCTCCAGCAGCACTCTCTCTCACGCAGTTCTGCCACCTTCAGGAGGGCATTCCGTTGACCATGTGTCATGTTACTGCTGTGCGGGTAAATTTGGCCAACTTGGGTTTAGTCACTTGTTGAATTGTGCTTTTTAATGATTAATATGCGTGAAAAATCCCCACAAATCTGTGAACTGAATGCTAAAGGCAGAACGTACTTCAGTATAGCACAGTATATGTAGCGTATACCAAAAAGGTGCTACCGGACCCCTGAGATGAGGTGTTAGAGATTGAACTCTCTGTCTACCTACGTCATTATTATAGACCGTTGTTTTGCCTGTCCACAGAGAAAGACGTCAGAGCTCCCGTACTTTCCAAGTCAGGATGGTTTAGGAACTGTAATCCAACAGGCAGGTAAAGTGGACAGAATTACCCAGTCAGGATCTTCTGAAAATGGATACACCCACACATCCGTGTAAATATATTTTTTCACACCTACATCCAAAGCAGAGTAATAATTTAATTCTTTTTCTTATTTTGTAGACAGAAATAGTATTCTTCGTGTTTTCATGGTGAATTATTGGAGAGATGATTGAAATGGATGTGTTTTGAATAGGACTGAAAAAACTTACAAGGCACCCAGTAGTTAAAGCAGGATTATAGATGCTTCCACAGTCCATAATCACTTTCAAACTGGGCAAAGAAGATAAATTACCAAATTCTAAACCAAAAGTCTTTGGGAACTTTCATTGTAAAATGAGCCAAAATTAGAAAAACAGTGAAATAGAAGGCCCGAAACTCAGTTCCTGTATTTTGTGCTGTTGTCAGTAGTTTTTGTCCAAGGCATAGTCTTGGAAAGTAACACAGCGTTGGGCAAGTAATAGGGAAAATAAAATATGCTATTTAGATTTTGGCTCAGAGTAGATTTGACCTGTTGAATTTGTCTGTCACTTTGTAATTAAGAACTTTGCTAATTTTCTGTTGCTTTGTCAAGTTTTCTGTGCCTGGCAGAAATAATACTTAATAGAATACATTTTTGCACTGTTTTTGATTTTCATCTCTACTTTTGTTTTCTTTAAGAAAGCACAGTCATTTCAGCTACCTTTTTGTGTGTGTGTGTGTGATTGTGCAGTATTGCATGCAGTCACATTTTCTTTTGTATTTGATTCTCTTGTTTCTTTAGTGTTCTCTACCAGAGACTCATGAATTATAGTCATTCCACCGAGGGTAAATAGTTTGGTCCTTTCTTGGTCAGTGTGTGCTTATTTCAGATATGCAAATAAGTAAGCAGGTTTTTAGTGTTCTTTTTCACACTTGAAACAAAATTTTCAATAATTTGAGATTGGCATTTATATCTATTGTATATATAATATATAATTTTTTCTTTCAGATATGGAGTGTGGACCTCCAAGGATTAATGATAAACTAATGAGGTTCTTTGATCATTGTGAGAAGTTTTTAACTGAAGTGGAAAAGAATACTACAGCTCTTTATCATGTGGAAGCCTTCAAAACTGGGCCAGAAATGCAGACCATTTTAAAAAAGGTCGCAGCTACTCTGCAAGTGCCAGTCAACAATTTAAATGCAGGTAATGTGCCCCTTATCTCTCATTTGAACTCAGAAATAATTTAAATGGGTCTTGAACTCTGAAAATGAAAAAATATGGAAGTATGGTTATTCCTTTTAAAGGCCCACAATTGATTTTACATTAAGAAGATAATGTGTTCTGGGTCTAGAAAATTGTGTATCTCATGCCTACTGTTTTTAGATTCATATTCTTCTTTGAACTTTATGTAAGTTAATGTACAAGAGTCTTGCTGTATCCTGAAATTTTTTTTTTATTGAGGGCAGAGGTATATAAAACTTCCAACTATAAGCATTCTATATGAAACAAAAAGTATATTTTTGAATTATCTCCCCATAAAATGATACAAGTGGAAAATTATATTAATTCTTTAGCTTTTGAAGTCATTGAGAAGTGTGTCCATGTTAATGTTTGAAGAGGGATATTAGAAAGTGAAAAGTAAAGTGGTGTGGGAATTTTATTTGAGGCTTTTAAGCCTAGAGATGCTAAAAAAAAAAAAAGAGAAGAAAAAAGAACAGTTGTGTCTTTTGAGAGGTGTTGTAGTGGATGGGCTGACTGGTAATTTGTCATGCAACCTGGGATACTTTTAAGGTGAAAGACACTGTTAATAATTGTGCTGGGAAAGCAGGTGGAACCCACGGCACATGATCATCTACTTATAGGAATTTAAGAAAACATAATAAGATTTTTTCCTGATCTCTAAGAATTTATAAATCACACAAGAAATGGTGACAGATATACGTACAAAGATTGTGGATTTCATATATTATAAATAAATTTCCAAAAGACCAGAAGTAGGAGATGTTGGGGGGGAAAGATCAGAATCATGGAGCCTGAATGCTTGATAAGCATCAAAGAAGTGAAGACGCCTAGACTGGCATTTAAAATGGAATGTTTTCTCTTTCTCCAAAGATGCTAAACATTGGGATCACCTACAGAGCTTTAAAAATTACTTATTTGTGGAGCACCTGGCTGGCTCAGTTGGTAGGGCGTGTGACTCTTGATCTCAGGATGGTAAGGTCAGACCCCACGTTGAATGTGGAGATTGCTTGAAAATAAAATCTTGTTTTTTTTTTAAAGAAAAATTTTTTTAATGTTTATTTTTTGAGAGAGACAGACAGGGCGAGCAGGGGTGGGTCCAGAGAGAAAGAGGGAAACACGGAATCCAAAGCGGGCTCTAGGCTCTGAGCTTTCTGCACAGAGCCCTTTGCGGGGCAGGAACTCACAAGGTGTGAGATCATGACCTGAGCTGAAGTCAGATGCTTAACAGGCTGAGCCACCCAGGCGACCCTTCAAATAAAATCTTTTAAAAAATTATTTATTTAAGTGGGAAGGAACTTAAACACAGAAATAATCATAAAGGCTCATCTAATGAACTTCCATATACCCGCGACTCAGTTGTATCAAATTTTAACATACTGCCATTAGTCGCTGTAAATCACTTGAGGTCCTTTGGTCCCTCTCAGGATTTCATCCCTCTTCTTTTCTTCCCAGTGGTAACCATTGTCATGAATTGAGCATTTAAATCATCCCATGCCATTTTTATATTTATCTTCCTATACATAAATGGGATGTCATTTTGCAGGTTTTAAAACTTTTGTGAATGGTATCAAACTATGATAGCAGTCTGAAATTTCATTTTAATTCAACGTTTTAGTTTTGATTTAATGTAGTGATTTTAGTCTTAACATTTTAAACTTTCGTACAGGATTCCATTATATAACTATAGCAGTGTCTAGCCATTATTCTGTCAGTAGGTGCTTAGAGTGTTAAAGATTCTTTAAAAAACAATATTCAGTCTCTGAGTGGAAATGAATTTTGTGTTTTACTGATAGAGTAGCTGAGAGCAATTTCTTTTTGGAGGCTGTGAGCATTGGTTGTTAAAATCATGGGTTCTGGAACTAGACTGTTTGCTTTTGAATCTTGACTCTGTTCCACTATCGAATAACTCTCTGGTCTTTGGCAAGTTCCCTAGTATCTCTAGGCCATAGTTTTTCCTCTGTAAAATGGGTATAGGAATTATACCTTTCTTTTAGGATTATTGTAAAGATTGTATAAGATTAATTAATGCAAAGCATTAGCATACTGCCTTGCAGAGTAACTGCTCAAAAATATTGTAGCTGTTTAAATGCCTTCTTTATTTCTTTTCTTCTTTCCTTCCTTCCTTCCTTGCTTCCTAACATAGAGGGATAATAATGTGTGTAATCATTTTTACTGAGCAGTATATCTGTCTTACACAGATCTGTCTCATTCTTTTGAATTCTATGTTATTTCATAGGCTATGTGATTCATTTTCTAGGTCAATGATAATTAAAAACTTATTTAACCCATCAGATTTTAATGGTGGAGGGGGCTGGAGCTAATACAGTGCAAATTCTTTTTACAGGAAATCATTTTCCTACTGAGGTTTTTCTTAGTTTTTACCTCTTTTAAATGATGCTACAGTGAACATTCTGACAGTCTGGTTTTTGCCCTTGAGAATTTATCTATAGGATAAATAACTGTAGATTAGAGTTGTTGGGTTAAGGACAGTGAATATTTTACCACTTGGCATATATTTCCAATTGTTCGAAAGTGTAGAAAAATTTATATCAACAATATTTAGGAATCCTCAGTTTTCTTAGATCATCAAACAGTGGTTATTAGTCATTTTTTAAATGTTTTTTTATTTTGAGATAGAGAGGGAAGTGGAGGGAGAGAAAAAGAGAGAGAGAGAGAGAGAAAGAGAGAATCCCAAGCAGGCTCCACACTGTCAGCGCAAAGCTGGATGCGGGGATAGAAACCAGGAATCATGAGCTGAGCTGAAAACCAAGAATTGTTAACCGACTGAGCCACTCAGGCACCCCTTTAGACATTTTGATTTTTGCCAATTTGATTAATGAAAAATGGTATCTAGCTTTTTTTTTTTTTTAATTTTTTAATGTTTTATTTATTTCTAGGAGAGAGAGAGAGAGAGAGAGAGACAGCGTGAGCAGGGGAGGGTCAGAGAGAGGGAGTCACAGACTCTGAAACAGGCTCCAGGCTCTGAGCTGGCAGTCAGCACAGAGCCCGACGCGGGGCTTGAACCCACGAACCACGAGATCATGACCTAAGCGAAAGTCAGATGCTTAACCAACTAAGCCACCCAGGCACCCCAAATGGTATCTAGCTTCAATTTGCATTTCTTTGGTTATCTGTGAGGATGAGCATCGCTTCATACATCTATTGGCTATTTGCATTCCTTCTGGGAATTGCCTCTTCATTACCTTGTCCATTTTCTGTTGGATTGTTTTTGTGTTTTTCTTATTGGTCATTGGTGCCCTTTATGTATTATGGATATATCAATTATATATCCTTTAATATTTCTTGACAAAGGATAAATCTTTTCCGTATTGTACATTGCTAGCATTTTCTCTTTAATTCATTGCACGCTTTTTAACTGTGTGGTGCCTTTGACTGTACACTTTACATCTTTTACGTGGCCACATATGTCTTTTCATTACGGCTGTTCAATGTTGTATTTTGCCTAGGAATCCTCTGTTAACCCAAGATTATTATATTTTTCTATGTCTTTATTTTCTTTTAATTTTATAACGTTTTATTTTTTAAGTTTATTTAGTTTTGAGAGAGAAAGAGAGAGAGAGTGTGTACATACATGTGTGCATGCGAGCCAGGAAGGGGAAGAGAGAAAGAGAGGATCCCAAGCAGGCTCTGCCCTGTCAGCATAGAGCCCCATGTGGGACTCAGTCCCATGAACAGCGAGATCGTAACCTGACCAGAAATCAAGAAACAGATGCTTAACTGACTGAGCCAGCCAGGCGCCCCTAGCTTTTTAGATCTCTGATCCATCTAAAATATTTCTGTGGTTCCAGAAGACTGACCAAGAGGTCAGCATGGTCATAGTAGATGGTCAGGGCCATGACTCCTGAGAGATCTCTCACCTTTCTCTTTGGCATGTGGGGAGAGTGGGACCTGAGAGGCTAGAGTCACTTGCTCAGGATGACTAGTGGCAGAGTTAGGTTCCATAGCCTGTCACCTTTGGAAGTGTTTTTTGGTGAGATTTTTCTGTCGACTCCCTTCTAGTTGAAGAATAGACCACCAGGACTGACTTTCACAGTCTCAGCACTGGAACTTCGGGTGTGAATGAGTCCGGCTCTTCCATCAAACCTCCATGGCGCTTAGGAGTCACTGTAGTATGTTAGGTATTATGATTGTAAGCCCTTTTGTTTACATAAGCAAGGTTTTTAAATGGCTTTTACGTGTATTCTCAATTAAATATTCTTTGTGTACTATATGCTGCTTCAGGGAAGTTCTTTCAAATCAAAATTGGTTCCTTGGGAACGCGGAAACGCTTTGAAATTAGAGAAAGCAAAGCGTAGGAGGCAGCCCCACAGTGGACTTCCATTCTCTCTGTGTGAAATTGAATGTCACCAGCTTTGCTGTGACCAGAGAGCACTGCTCTTATTTGGTACTGACACAGGCACCTTTCAGGACCCAGGGCCTTGTTGCCTTCTCCTTCTTTTCAAATTCCAGGTGTATCTAAATGTCATTGGCCAGTTAGCAGTGTAAACATCCAGGTACCTTGTTCAGAAACCTGCTGCCTGACTGAGCAGCCAACAGCCAAGTTTGAAAAACGAGTGCTGTTAGCATCCCCCTCCCCCAGTGTGTGATTTTCCCTGCTGTTTCTCTTCTTGACCCTTTGTCTCACCTTCTTCCTGATTCACTCTGCCCTTTCCTCCCTCACCACCTTCTGCATTCTCTTCTCTCCTTTTATATTCTCTCTCTCTCTACTCCTTCATAACAGTTACAGTGTGAATTGTGTAGTGAAGAGAACTGTTCAGAAAATGTGCGTTCTTATTCCTGATTTTCAAGATGGGGACTGAAAGCTCAAAACTTTACGTCCCCTCCTATAGCCCTCTTACAGGAACAAAGTCAAGTTCTGTTTAGCAAGTTCTTGGATTAAACTTCTTGTTGGATTTGTTAGGCAAATATGCCCTTAACAAACACCTTACCTTTAAAACCAAAAATAGTCATCGTTTTATAGAAAGTATCCTATTTTCATTGGACTGAAATTTGTACGCCCGCTTGGTTTCTTCCTGACAATTCCTTCTGTTAGGATAGTACACAGTGAGTCTTGCTACTGTGATGGCCAGGAAGAAGCTGAATCGTGTTTTCTCCGTGCTAGACGTGCCCAGGTCCTCCGACTGGCTGCAAGGGACATTCTGTAAATATTCGGCCTTTGGAAGATTACAGAAAACAGTAACTCACAAATTGTACCTTTCTTTTCCCCCCCCAGATTTAATTCAGGTAGCTTTTTTTACCTGTTCATTTGACCTGGCAATTAAAGGTGTTAAATCTCCTTGGTGTGATGTTTTTGACATAGATGATGCAAAGGTAAGTATTAATTTTGTAGTTTCTTTGCTATTTTTGCATGATTTTTGTTGTTGTTATTGTTACCTGGAACAGTTTTTCAAATAATAAGCAGGGTAGGGAACATGAACTGCCTTTGATTAACTTGTAATTTTCCTTGCAAAAAGAGATAAATTGTTCAGATAGGGCCCACATACCTATAAATAGTTGAGGTTCAGGAAACTTTGGAAAACATTCCTCCATGGTGATGTGATTTCTGAGTCTATTTTGCCTGTCATCAGACTTTATTGCTAGAAAGGACTACAGAGCTATTAAAATCCAAGATCTCTTTTTATAAGAAGCCAAATCTCAGAGTTTGAATGGTTTTTCAAATATCTAACTTTTCTTTTTTAGCAGTTTTCGTGATAAATTGAGTTCCATGGCAGTAACTCCTCTATGGTTTCTGTCTGCCTGCTTCCTGTTTCCTTCTTTTCCTCTTCATTCATGTCACTTCTCTGTGGACTTTCAGACTCTAGGAGGAAAAGGGCAGACAGACCTTCAGTGAATTCTGGTCAGTTCTGAGATGTTGGGAGCCAGACAGGTGGGTCGGAGAGTTCATTGTTTTCGCAAGCACTGAGAACAGCACCAGCAGGCAGAGTGCTGGTGTCTATGTGGATCATTCAGGAACGTGGACGTCTGAAACTTCCGTCATCTCCTGCGTTCAGTATTCCATGCAAAAATACATTATTAATCTCAAAATTTAACATCAGATTTTGAAAAGAAGTATAATATTTGCCAGATGATAGAAGCAGGCTTTTAGGCTGAGAGCTCATATACATAGAGTAAACAAGTGCTTTATTGTGATACTCAAAGACCAAAGTGACCAGATGAAAGGGGAAGTGAAGTGTTACATGCTCAGGTGGGAAAGAGCAGAGGAGTGGGGGGCAGAGGAGAGGGCCCCGGGTGGATGGCTATTCTAGGACATGGCACCAGTGGTAATGGGTGTGTTCCATTTCCTCCCTATCTGCTCCTCCCTCTAACTGTTCAAAAACTCATCACTTAGAGACTTCTTAACCACTGGGGCCCCTGGGTGGCTCAGTCAGTTAAGTGTCCAGCTCTCGGTTTCGGCTCAGGTCATGGTCTCGCGTTTCGTGAGTTAGAGCCCTGCGTCAGGCTCTATGCTGACAGTGCAGAGCCTGCTTGGGACTCTCTCTCTCCCTCTCTCTGTGCCCCTCCCCCGCTTGCCCTCTGTCTCTCTCAAAATGAATAAACAAACTTAAATTTTAAAAGAAACTTCTTGACCATAAAATTAATAATTATGCCAGTATAGGTATAAACTGAAACTTCGGATCCCCATTCACCTGTGTCAAGATTCCTCGTTTTTTCCCTACCCAGATTGCTCTAGGGCAAAAAGTTGATAAACCACAGTAATTTTCAGTGCCGTACAAATGACTGATGAGGCTTGTCAAAGGGAAATTTACCTTCTAGCAGAACAACAATTTGATTTGTTCCAATTACTACAGCTGGTGGACTGTTAGGCATGTGCCCACATGTGGTCCCTTCCGAGGCCTGGCAGCTTCGGGGTAAAGTGCAGGCTCTCCACCACCGCAGTGCAGATGCGCCTCCAGCCTCCGCTTACTCATCTTCTTGCCACCTGCTTGCTTCCTTCCCTGTCCCTTCCTGAGCCCTTCTCTGAAACATTTCCCCTGGCTTTTTGCGCATCTGTGTCTTCTGGGAAGTAGTGTGACATGCTACAGAAACCTGGAAGGGCGTGATCTGGTTAAGTTACACTTCCTCTTCCTGTACCGTGGTTTCCCTATCTGTTAAAGGATGCAACTGTTGGGTTACTCAGGAGCACTCCTCTAATTCTAAGATTCCATACTACTTGACTTTTTCTTTTCCTTTTTTTTTTTTTAGGATTATCCTTATATCTATTTATTGCTTCTGAAGCATTTCTGTTTTTATTTTTCTGCAACTTATTTTGAGAAATTTCAAGCTGACAGAAATTGTAAGAATAATACAATAAACATTCACATTCTTCACCTACATCCGCTGGTTGTTAACTTTTTTTTTTTTGGCCACATTTGCTTTTCTCTATATATGGGAGTTTCCTGTTGCTGCCGTAATGAATTACTGCAGACTTAGTGGTTTTAAAAAATACACATTTATTATCTTACAGTTCTATAAGTCAGAAGTTCAAGATGAATTTTAGCTAAAATCAGGATATCAGCACCATGTTCTTTCTGGAGGCTCAAGAGGAAAATCTGTCCCTTGCCTTTTCCAGTCTCTAGAAACTACCCTACATTTTCCCCCCATCACTCTAACTGGTCTTTCTCATTTTAAGAGCCTTACCCTAATCACACCTGCAGATTCCCTTCCATCACATAGGATAACATATTCACAGAGTCTAGGGATTCGGAGGGAAGCATCTTTGGACAGCCGTTTCTTCTGTCTGTCTGCCACATATGATCTGTTTTCTTTGCAGATATCAAAACACTTCACCCTTAAATACTTGCGTATGCATCTAAAAAACAAGACCATTGAGGTAATAGAGATATATAGAAGTGATAGTGGTACATAAAGGAGAAAGTTGATTTAATGGCGGTCTTTGGAAAAGACATATGATCTAGGCACTTTTCTGTGAGATAGCTTTTTGCAACTTTGTATCTGTCTTCTACTGTAATAAGTATATCTTGATTTTCTATCTCTTCTGGAGTCGGTTTTGGTATTTAATATTTTCTTATAAAAATCATTCAGTTTTTCAGATTTATTTGTAGAGGATGGCAACTTTTCTCACAATTCTTTTTCTAATATTTATTTTTGAGAGAGGACAGTGAAAGTGGGGGAGGGGCAGAGAGAGGGGAAGACACAGAATCTGAAGCAGACTCTAGGCTCGGAGGTGTCAGCACAGAGCCCAACACGGGGCTTGATCCCATGAACCATGAGATCATGACCTGAGCTGAAGTTGGACTTTTAACTGACTGAGCCATCCAGGTGCCCCTCTCGCAATTTTTTAAACAAAATGTTTCTTACGTATATCTGATACCATTTCCCCACTGTTATTACTTGTGTACTTGGGTTTTCATCATTACGCTAATTTAGTGTTTACCGATACATTATTTTTTTCACATGTAATAGTTTAACTTTATGTAATGAAATCACCCACCTTTTTTTTCTATCTAGTTTTTATTTAGCATGTTGTTAAGATTTACCTGTAGTTCGCTTATTTTCATTGCTGTATTGTATTCCATCATATGAATTATCGCAGGTTTTTTAAATGCATTATTTTGTTGGTAAACATTTGGGTTGTTCTCAGTTTGGGGCTATTATGTATGGGGCATATTATTCTGTATGTGAATTGAGGCATACACACACATATTTCTGAAGGTCTGTGTGTGTGGTAGAATTGCTGGATCACAGGGTATATAGAATTTCAAATTTACTAGACAGTGATGCCAAACTATTTTTGAAGTTCTAGCTTGTTTCTGTAATTATGCTTCTTTTCATATCTTTTATTTTCTGCTCTTGACTTTTTAATTTTCTTAAGCCTTTGGAATTCATAATACTTTATTTACTCACAGTTTTCTTCTGGGTATTTTATCTGTATAGCAGGTTTTTTAAAAACATTTATTTATTTTTGAGACAGAGATAGAGTGCGAACAGGGGAGGGTCAGATAGAGAGGGAGACACAGAATCTGAAGCAGGCTCTAGGCTCTGATCTGTCAGTACAGAGCCTGATGGGGGGCTCAGTCCCACAGACCGTGAGATTATGACCTGAGGTACAGTCGGACGCTCAACCAACTGAGCCACTCAGGTACCCCTTGTTACCTAACTTTAAAGAGTTGTGAATTTTGTTTTATTTTGCGCTTAAGTTACTTGTGGGTCAGCTTGATCCTTTTGAGGTTTATTTCTGAGTTTCATGCTCTAGATCTGACCTTACAAAACTCAAATCCAAACCTTTACTTGTAAACATGCTTCTTCTATTAAAGTGTGATGCGGGGCGCCTGGGTGGCTCAGTCGGTTAAGCGTCCAACTTCAGCTCAGGTCATGATCACATGGTTTGTGGGTTTGAGCCCCGTGTCAAGCTCTGTGCTGACAGCTAGCTCAGAGCCTGGACCCTGCTTCTGATCTGTGTCTCCCTCTCTCTCTAACCCTCCCCTGTTCACGCTGTTTCTCTCTCTCTCTCAGAAATAAATAAAAAAATATTTTTAAAGTGTGATGCTTCTGGGGTCTATGTTGAAGCTATGGACCCCTGGGTGTGCACTGAAATTCTCTTAGACTGCTTGGAACTTGATGATCTCCCATTCTTGTGATAGCTCCAGAATTCAGCTTAGAAGTTCCACAGCATTCAGCTGCAGAATCCGGGGGACCCCCAGCTTCCTGGAGCTCTTTTCTGTGCAGCTTCCTCCTTTCTGATATTCCATCCTGCTACTTCAGGCCCTTAAGACTCTGTTCTCCCTCTTCTGCTCAGCAGGACCGCGGGATTCTGCCTCCCATTCCTTTCCCTGTACCTCTGGGCACAAACCCCGGGACAATTGTAGAGTTTGCTGTGTGGGTTTCTCTTCTTTCAGTGATCATAGTTCAGTGCCGATTACTCAATGACTTCAAAACATTTTATGTATTTTATTCTTTTTGGTCCCGAGGGCAGGCTTGGTATCCGTCCATCATGGCAGATGGTACGTTCTTTCAGTATGCTGCTGCATTTTATTTGGTAATGTTTTATTTCCAATTCATTAAAGCATGTTTGTAGTGAGGCTGGTTTATGGCCGTGGCTCTCGTTTGTGAGTGGTACTCCTGGCCTGGACCCGTTCTTTTTCCTTTGAGGGGGTTAGAATGTGAGGGGGAATCTGTGTTTGCAGCAGTGACAAGGAGACACAGGTGAGGGCACAGGAATTGCAGTGCAGCGGTCCGGATTTTCTTTCCTTGCCCCTTTCCTTCGTGCTTTCTTTGTTCAGGTTTAGGTACAGGCTTCCAGTAGCTTCCTAAAATGAGAATCTTTCCATCTTTCCCTTTCCCTTGGAATAATTTAAATATTAGGAACTAACTCTTAAAACCAGATATACCTGGGGAACACCAGGGTGGTCCAGTCGGTTAAGTGTCGACTCTGGTCTTAGGCCCAAGTCAGGATCTCGCAGTTCGTGAGAGACGCTCCAGCCCGGTATCAGGCTCTGCACAAACAGTGCAGAGCCTGTTTAGGATTCTTTTTCTCTCTTTCTCTCTCTCTCTCACTCACTCACAATAAATAAGTAAACTTAACACGCACAAAAAAAAGTATATACCTAGTATCTTTTAGGTGGACCTTTGTCTTTAGTTATTTTGTATAATCAGATTTTTCTGAATCAGTTTGGGTAATTTGTGTTTTCCTAGAAAAACCACTTATTTCATTTACATTTTCAAATCTTTTTGAGATAAAGTTTCAATTGTGTACATGTATGATTTTTGAAAAGTCTTTAGTTATATCTCCTTTTTTATTTCTGACACTATCTTTGTTTGAATCAATCTGAATGGATTTGACAGAACTTTAATACCTTTAATTTAAAAAAATTTGTTTTTACATTTATTTATTATTGAGAGATAGAGCACAAACAGGGGAGGGGCAGAGAGAGAAGGAGACACAGAATCTGAAGCAGGCTCCAGGCTTTGAGCAAGCTATCAGCATAGAGCTCGACGTGGGGCCCGAACCCACGAACGGTGAGATGATGACCTGAGCTGAAGTCGGACACTTAACCAACTGAGCCACCCAGGCACCCCGAGAACTTTAATCCCTTTAATGTTAATTCCTTCCTTTAACAAAAAATGTTTACTTTGTCCCTTTTGCTAACTTGATTTAATTACCTTTTTAATATCTCTTTAGTTTTATTTTTGGTATATGGCAATGGCTTACCCTTACGCTTGCTCTTAAAGTTATTATGGTTTGCACTTAGTTTTCTCTAGAGGCTTTTTCAGAGAAGAATAACTTAAAATTACTACAGAGTCTTCTCTTGTATCTCTTTTAATTGCCCATTTTAGTTGTCTAGTTTTGGTGTTTATCTGATCAAGTGATACATGAGTGCAGAGTCTAACATTCGGAGAAAGCCTGCCTTAATCACCATTTCTCATCCAAGCCCTCTCCATAGTGATCAGTCACTGCTGTCAGTTTGATGTGTACCTTTTAGCCCTCTTCTGTGCTGCTGTTTATAATCTATGTCATTCTTAGTACTATAAACCGCATGTATGTGCGTAGGTCTGTGTGTCTTGGTAATAAAAGGTACTACACTGTATTTATTATTCTCAACCTGCCCTTCTCATTCAGGACATCCTGGAGATCTTTCCACATCAGTACATGAAGATCTACAATATAGAAGTCTTAAATCGCTGCACAGTGTACCATACTATGTGTATGCCATAGTTTAGTCAGCCATCTGCCTATTCATGAAGACTCAGTATTTCCAGGAATCTCTCTTCCAGTCAATAAGCAGTGCTCCTGTAAGACATTCCCACACACATTCTCTTGTGTTCCGGTGACTAAACCCTCCTAAGAAGTGGAATTAAGTGGGTCATAGAGATGCATGCTTTTATGGATTTTGCCAATTTGCCCTTTAGAACATTTATGCCAGTATGCATTCCTTATCTGTATTCTTGGTCTACTTTTATTACTAATTTTGCCAAACTGATATATGAACCAAAGTACTTGACTTCTGTCTGGTTTCTTTCTTCATAAAATTCTTAAAAGTTCCGGATCCACTGTTGGCATCTTTTTGTGCTATAATAAAAAATCTTCTTTGTAGATCTTTTTTTCTTCTTTCTGTATATATATTTGCTATCACTTTAATATAATTTTCACAGAAAGGAGAAGTGAGCTTGTCTTTACCGCCCTGTCCTGAAGTGTCCTAGAGGCTGGATTACAGCCTGAGTACTACTTGCATCTGTCCCGAAGCATCTGGATGTTGGGTTATGGCATGAGTACTACTCACGTCCATCCAAAAGTGTCCCGGAGGCCGGGTTATGGCCTGAGTACTACTTGGCGTCTGTCCCGAAGTGTCTGGATCCTAGATTACAGCATGAGTACTGCTGGCCTCTGTCCGGACATGTCCTGGAGGCCGGTTACGGCCTGGGTACTACACACATCTGTCCCAAAGTGTCCTGGATGCTGGGTTACGGCGCAAGTACTACTGGCTTGCTCTTGCATGCCCACCTCTACACTCCCACAGATAGAGGTTGTGTGTCGTCATAAATCTCTATGGGTCATAGACTTAAAATGGCAGTATAAACTCGACATACTTTGTGTAGAATGACAAACAATGTAATCTTTCCTGAGAATCATTATTAAGTCAGAGAATCTGTTAACATTAAAAAATGTAATAATGACTTTTGAAATTTTTATTTTTAGGTACTAGAATATTTAAATGATCTGAAGCAATATTGGAAAAGAGGATATGGGTACACTATTAATAGTCGGTCCAGCTGCACCCTTTTTCAGGATATCTTCCAGCACTTAGACAAGGCAATTGAACAGAAACAAAGGTAAAAGCTTAATTTTTTTTTTTTGATATGTATTCTTAAATGCTCAAATGACCTTCTGAAAAACATTTTATAATGGGTGATTTTAAAAATTAGGTCTGGGCCGTGGGGGTGTCACAGTGGGTTGAGCATCTGACTTTGGCTCAGGTCATGATCTCTGTTGGTGAGTTTGAGCCTGGTATCAGGCTCTGCTGACAGCTCCGATCCTGGAGCTGCTTCAGATTCTGTGTCTCCCTCTGTCTCTGCCCCTCCCCTGCTCATGCTCTGTCTCTCAAAAGTAAATAAACATTAAAAAAAATTTTTTTAATAGGTTTGCTTGTGTTTTTAAAAACTTATAACTAGACATACAAAAGAATGATTAGTTATGTGGCATATACACCCTTTGTTCACCCCAAGAACTAGAACATTCGCATTTGCAGTACTTCCCTTTTTCTGCACCCTGTGTCCTCTCTATTCCATGTCCCCCGTAATCACTGTTGTAAATTTCCTGTATATCATTGCTTTGCCTCTTTAAAAATAGTTTTTATTGTAAAAATATGTGTGCAGAGAACATGTTTAGTTTTACTTAGTCATATGTCTGTTGTCTTCTGAGACTTTTTTTTCCCCTTCCACATTATATTTATAGTGTTCATTGTATTGTCACATATACTTTAAAGTTAGAAAATAAAAATTTTTACGTGGCTTCTAGGTGACTCAGTCAGTTAAACATTTGACTTGGTTTCGGCTCAGGTTATGATCTCATGGTTTGTGGTTTCGGGCCCCACGTCGGACTCTGCACTGACTGCACAAAGCCTGCTTGGGATCTTTCTCCCTCATATGTGTGTATGCATTCTCTCTCTCTCTCCCTCTCCCTCTCCCTCTCTCTCCCTCTCCCTCCCAAATAAACTTAAAGAAAAAAGAAAATAAACATTTTTACTATAGTACAATATTCAATAAAATGTGATATTCAATAAATAAGTACCACAGTTTATACTACCTTCTCTTATCAGTGGACGTTTGGGTACTTTCTATTTTTTGCTGTTGTAAAATACTGTAATGAACTGTACATGGCTTCTGGTAGGAATTGCAAAATGCTTTTATTTTGAATGAGAGTCTCTCATGGAAAATCTTTTGTTAATCATACTTTTCAAGGTTTTTTTTAAAAAAAAAATTTCATAATTTAAACCTAATAGAATCTAAACCCCATTTGACAAACATGCTTCTATGAAAGCTCATACATTCATAGAGACAAAAATGCTATAAACATGGAGACAGAAAGACTGAAGATTGTGTATTTGATTGTGTTTGCAATATTAAGTTTTTCATATATACATGTAGAGAGAGAATTTACATGCATTTGTGTATATAACTCTAGTTCATGAAGTTTTCTTGGGTTTGATGGGAGTTAGGGAGAAAACTCAGTTGAGTGTTTAGTTTCTGCTACCAAGTGCTTTTGTGGGGCAAAATAATCAAGGCAAGTTCTATCTTTGAGATAGGCATTAATTCTTTCCTACTTAGTTTTATGAGTAGTTAATAACCCATAGACTTCATAAGATACTGGATATTTGCTATTTGTTCAATGTTATCTGCCCCATTGTTGAATGTGAGGTTTGGCAAACTTGAAATTGTGTCAGCAAGATTCTTAATAATTTTTGTAAGATTTGCTGTTATAATTTGATACCATATTTTAAGGTTAAGAAGTTTATCTTGGTGTTTCAAAATGATTATTTCTGTACACTGAAAACTGTATTACAGAGAGAATTAAAGATGACCTAGATAAATGAAGAGAGATACTGTCTTTATGTATTGGAAGATAGATTGATCATCTGTAGACTGAGTGCAATCCCTATCACAGTCTCAGTAGGTCTCTTTGTAGAAATTGAGAGGCTTATTCTAAAATTTATACAGAAATGCAAAGAACCTTAAATAACTAAAACAATTTTGAAAGAAAAAACAACAGCAACAAAAAGTTAAAAATATTTCCCTTTGAAACTTATTATAAAACTCTAGCCATAGACAAATGGATCAATGGTATAGAATCAAGTCAATAAATAAACTCATAATAAACCCTTATATGGTCAATTTTCAACAACGATGCCAAGGTCATGCATTGGAAAAAAGGATAGTCTTCAACAGATAGTGCTGGAACAGTTGGATATCGGTGTGTTTAAAAATGACGCTTAGACCCTTATTTCACATGTACAAAAGAAAAAACAATTACACTCTTAGAAGAAAACATGGGAGTGAATCTTTGTGATCTTGGATTAGGCCAAAATTTCATAGTTAAAAAACCTAAAAAGCTGAATCCATAACAAAATTGATAAAATGAACTTCATCAAAATTAAAATTTTTTGTGCTTCTAAAAATGCTATTTGCAAAATGAGAAGGTAAGCTATAGACTTGTAGAAAAAGTTGGCAAAATATACATATATGATTAAGGATTTGAATCCAGAAAATATATAGAGACGTTACATCCCAATAAAGAGACAACCTAATTTTTAAAAAGAGCATAAGATTTGAATGGACAGTTAAGATATGTGGATGGCAAATATAAGTACAAGAAAAGATTATTTCAACATCATTAGATATTAAAACCACAGTGAAATATCACCAGTATATCCCAAAACTGTCTGTGGAAAGATAAAAGACATATATATACACATAGGTCTCTTCCCCAAGTTCTTGACATAGGGCTCCTGAAACCCATGTAATTTCCTGGTTGATAGGAGTATCTTTTGTACTAATGAGGTAACTTCGGGTCACACCCTGGACAGCTCCAGGAGGAGAGTTGAAAGACTAAGCCTTTAGTAGCAGAGGCTTGCCATTTTCAGCCCTGAGCCCCATTGTTTTGAGAAGGAAGGAGATTGGAAATGGAGTTAATGATCAGTCATACTTGTGGGACGAAGACACCATCAAAATCCAAAACAAGTTTGTGGTTTCGGGAGCTCTTGTTTGATGAACAAGTAGATGTGCCAAGAAAGTGAACTATTATATAGTCTATGCCTCAAGAGGATATGGAAGCTCCATGCCCCATCCGACATCCCTGGCCCTGCCCATCCCTTCCATGTGGACCTTCACCTGCATGCTTTATCATATCCTTTTATAATAAACTTGGCAAATATATTTGCCTGAGTTTTGTGAGCTGTTTTTGCAAGTTAATAAACCTGAGGAGGGAGTAGTCGGAACCTCTGATTTGCAGCCAAGTTGGACAGAAGTTGTGGGTAACCTGGGACTAATACTAATACTTGGTAGTTGATACCTGGAATCGGAAGGAGGGAGCAATCTTGTGGGACCGAGCCCTGAGTACAGTCTGACACTAGCTCCAGGTACACAGTGTCCGAATTGAGGCAAGTTGTAGGATACCTAGCTGCTGTTACAGAATTGCTGGATGTTGGGGGAAAGCCCCACATGTTTGGTATCAGAAGTGGTAGGAGTGTGGTAGTGTGAGAATAGAGGAGAAACACAGCAGGAACACTTGGGTGTTTTTCTACTCACTGGCTAAAGTGAAAAAGAAAAAAGATTGTCCTAAATGTTGGCAAGATGTGTAGGAACTAGAAGCTTTACACGTTGCCAGTAGGAATGTAAGACTGAATACAGCCATTTGGGAAGCGTTTGGCAGCTTCTTAAAAAGTTCAACGTAAATCTGCCATATGATTTAGCAAATTTAGTTTTACGTGTCTACATAGACTTTTATGTGACTGTTTATTGCAGTATTTTTCATAATAGCTAAAAACTGTAAACAGTTCAATTGTCCACCAGCTGATAAAAAGCACAAGGTGGTATGTCGATATGATGGAATACTACTCAGTAATAAAAAAGAATGAATTACTGGGGTGCCTGGGTAGCTCAGTTGGTTAAGCGTCCGACATCGACTCAGGTCATGATCTTGGAGGTCCGTGAGGTCGAGCCCTGCATCAAGTTCTATACTTACAGCTCAGAGCCTGGAGCCTGCTTCCAATTCTGTGTTTCCCTCTCTGTGCCCCTCCTCAGCTCACACTCTGTCTCTCTCTGTCTCTCTCTTAAATAAGAACGATTTACTGACAGATGCAGCAAAATGAATGGCTTCCAAAACATTATGCTAACTGAAAGAACCCAGTTGCATAAAACTGTTTATTGAATGATTATTTTTATTTGAAATTGGTAGAAAAGAAAACTTTACAGGTGAAAGTCTGTCAGTCACCACCTGGATCTGGACATGGGAGCAGAGACTGACTGCAGATGGGTAGAAGGAAATTTTTTAGTGTGATAGAAGTGTTCCTACACTGGATTGTGAAAATTGCACACAAAACTGTTCATGTACTAAAATACATATAACTCAACAATTAAAAATAGGTAGATTTTATGGTAGTTACTTCAATAAAAAAATTAAAACAATATGGGTATAAAAGGAAAAAGGGAAGAATGAAACAATCTTTTGGTAAAAGTGGAAATAATTTCTAGTGAATTTACTATTTCAGGAAAATGGAATCTTTCCTTGGAAATTTTGGGGCGCCTGGGTGGCTCAGCCAGTTAAGCTTCCGACTTCGGCTCAGGTCATGATCTCATGGTTCATGGGTTCAAGACCCATGTTGGGCTCTGTGCTGACAGCTCAGAGCCTGAAGCCTGTTTCAGATTCTGTATCTCCCTCTCTCTCTAACCCTCCCCTGCTCATGCTCTCTCTCTCTCAGAAATAAATAAAACATTAAAATTTTTTTTTTAGTTTTGACAGACTCCAAAATGCTTATGACGTGTAATTACTTAAAATGTGTTTTTAAATTATTAGTTCACTTCCCTGCCTTGATAAAGTATACTGTAAAGTAATCAAATAGTAAAAACAAAAAATTAGGCTCTTGCAGTTCTATGAGATGATCTGGATTACTATAAACAGGACAACCTGTTTTAGTTTGCTTTAAATAGTTTTTTAGAGCACTTTTTGGTTCACAGGAAAATTGAGCGGAAGGTAGAAGGACTTCCCAATACTCCCCTGCAGCTGTCCCCGCTGTCACAATATCCTACCAGAGTTATTTTTTAAAAACAATTTTGAG